AGTATTTCCATATTCATTGTCTGAATCTAGTTCTCTGCCCCTCAGAAATTGCTGTTCCTGGAGTAAAGTATAAGCAGGAATGGTCTAGGGAATGTGGGTAAGTTGAGTGGCAGAATGCATGCTTTACATGCAGTAGATCTGAGAGTCAGTCTCTGAGGTGTCTAAACAGTAGAATTTGGTATGAACACAGAGTCACAAAGGTTCACTGAGTATGAACATTTTGGTTTTCGTGGACTACAGATCCTATAATTCTCCATTCTGGGAGCTGTGCCTGATATTAGAGGCCTTTCTCCAAGGTAAGCCACATTTAGGTTTTTGTACGCCAGGTATAACTCCCAGAATGGAGAATTAAGGGCTCTGTAGTCCAACAAACTGGAAAATCCAATTCCTAACATTCATAGGAGGCTGGTATGACTTGAGCAACAGAACTCTACCATAGATTGACAAGCATTGGGCCTGAAGGGGCTTTTTCAGGACCCTGGAGAGCTCCAACTGAAGATTGAGGATTCAAGGGTGGGAGAGGACTATTTGAACTTCAGATGTCTCTGTGCAAAATTGACCATGCGATCCAGCCAAACACAGCACCATTATTGTGGCCCATCATAACATAGCTGTACATTTCCGTATGGGAAAACAATTTAACGGCAAAGACAAAAGTTATTGACACAGTTCTTTATTGTTTCCCAAAGACATAAGGTTTGAAGGTGAAGCATCTATTTAGTCTACTGCATGCATGCAAGAAGCTACCGTGTTCTGATCTGTTCAAGCTGACTGGACTTGTCCTTACATTATATTGGTGTAGGATTGAACCATCGGCTGTACAAGTAGGACATCCTTTCACACTGACTTCAGGCCAGTTCTTGAGTTACCTTAACAGTATGGGCTCATCTGATAAGCTGTGTCTCAGAGAGCATGGTGTGAGAGGACTGGACAGTTGTGTTGTTCCTCACAACAGTGGCAGCTCTTTCAAAGTCAGTGGTTACTTCTGTAAGTAGACTGCCCTCTAGTGGGCAGATCTAGGTGAAACTAGCTTTCCCTAGTGGACATTACATGAGAGATGCGGGAAAAGTAAGGAATTGTGACTATTATGTTGGCCAGTGTAGGGATGATAGCTGGCATGTCTCTCTCTTAGGAGATGACATTGGGACAACAGCCCAGTTTTGAAGCAGTTTTCATGCCACTTGCTCTGGATGTCCACTAAGAAACCTACTTGTGACCCACCAAGCTAAGAGCTGCTCACCAGGAGTTAATTGGGAAGCCTGCTAGATGACTGAAAACCCATTTCTCCATCGTACTATTTGCAGAGGTAAGCACTACATAGGAAAACAGGAAGGTTTTTCTCCATTTCTAGGGATCTACCACAAATGGTCACTAAGAAGACAGAAGGGTCTCCTAATGGAAGCATTGTCTTGTTGTAGTACAGTATGGTTGGTATGTGAAATGTATGCACATCAGTGTCCCCTTTCTCCTCAGTTTTATTTTTGTCACCTAGTGGTTGGCTGCTTTCAGCTTGGGAAGTCACAATCCTTTCTGACCTGCATATTTATCCTGACTTTATGCATGTTTAGGGAGTCATTGCTGCCTTTGGGACCCTGGGGAAGTGAACGGTCATGATTTTGAATGCTGATGAGACCAGGATATTTTGCATGGCTGCCTGGTAGAAGAACGTCTTGGATGTTGATCAACAGGGTTCTCTTTTGGCTCATTATTGCTTGGATCTCCCTCGGAGGCAGCTGAGACCTGTTCAGACTCTTGACCCTGCCATTCTTGTTGACCAGCTGGACGCTGTTCTGCTGTAAGAGACTTATGTCCTTCTTCTTCTTGTTGGATGGGTGCTAGCTCTTGAGCTTCTCTCGAAGTCCCTTGGGACAATTCATCTGCTGGTTCCTCCTTGGAGTCCTCCTCAAGTTCATAATTTGGGTCTTGTTCTTGGATCTCAGATTCTTGGAGGTGGGTTGGAACTTCTTTTCCTTGAGATATCTCCTCTTGTTGATGGGCTGGAGATTGCTCTGAAGTCAAAGGTTTGTCTTCCTGGTGTTCTAGGAGAGCTGATTGAGGATCCTGGATGATCTGGGAAGCTGATCTCCCTTCTGATGTTTCAGATTCTTGTGCCTGTTTATAGTTTGGTCCTTGCTCTTCTTCCAGTGACTCCTTTGGCTTTGGGTTGACTGAATCCTCTTCTCCTGTCTGTGGTTTCCTTGTCTCATTCTGACTCAGGAGTTGCTGCCCCTCATGGGCAGTGGGTTGCATTGCTTGATCTTGCTCTGGTCCTTTGACCTTTACTTCCTGGTGGCCAGCCTGGACCTCCTCTTCTGTCTGGTATGCTTGTGATGAAGGGTGGGTTGTTCTCTGTTGTGACTCTGGCGTGAGAGGTTCTTGTTTATCTTGGCCTCTGGCTTCCTCAGTTGTGGTTTGAGGATCCTGATGGGAAGTCTGGGCATGATCCTGCTCAGCTCTCTTTTCTTCATGAGTAGCTTCCTGCTTTACTGCTTCTTGATCTTTGTTTTCTCTTTGAGTTGAATCAGTCAAAGAAAGCTCCTCTGACAATTGGCTCTTTGGATATTCTTCTTGTTCTGGTGATGTCCTTTCTGATTTTGCATCTTCTGGAGCATTCTCTGCGGCTGTGGTTGGTTGAATTTGTGAGTCTTCCTTGGGTGGCTCCTCATCCTGTAGTTGTGTACTGCTGACTCCTTTGTCAGACAGCTCTTCTGCTGGTCCATCCTGGCACTGCTGAACTTCCTTATAACAAGCTTTTGCCACTTTGAACACCAGCACTGTGAACTCCTCAAAGTCCACCTTGCCATCAGAGTCTGTGTCAAGCAGCTGAAGCACTGTCTCAATCGTCTTGGGATCATGTGGGTTCTGCAGAAAAATACAACACAGATTTATGCAACAGGATGTGGAGAGCATAGGCTCCATTGCCAGTGGGGTGGTGGATCTACCCAGGTTTTAAATAGATTGTCAAAATTGTTGGACCTATTGTAACAAAAACCGTTCAGCACTTTGGATAGCTCCAGAATGCACTCACCGTCTCAATGACGCAATAGCCGACAGCTCCCCACCCTCAAGCTTAATAAACTTGATCCTCCTTCCTCCCAGCTGCCATGTGAGAAATAGAGGTTGGGACTCACCACAATCACCTCTGCAAACTCCTTCTGGATAAGCTGCTTCAGTCCCCCCTTGCTCAGCGCTGTGCAGTCTTTGTTCTCTTTTGCATACTTATCGAAAATCCTGATGATGCTCTCAATGTTATGAAGGAGTTGAGACATCTCTTTTGAGGGCTCCTAGAAAAGAGGAAGCAGATGAGGAACGATGTTCTGGGTTGGAGAGAACACTGGTGTTAGTGTCTGATATAGGAAGAATGTAGAAAGAACCCAAGCTTCCTTAAGAATACAGTATACGAATCTGAGTTCTCAAATCAACCCATGAGCCTATCTATGTTGTTGTTGTCCACCCTGAGAGACAGTAGCTCTAGATGATTTCAGAGAGATCCCTAGCATGACATGGATTGAACTTGTAACCGTATGTCTCTCAAGGGTGTGATCTACTGTGGAACTACCAGTTTTCCTTAAGGAACAGAAGATACATGACATGAAAGAAGCATTTCCTACTTTCTTCCAGCAGTCTTAATGTTGACACAAGTGGACCTTGGTGTTTTCTAGCTCAACCTCAGGAGTAAGCAACTTTGGAAGGGTTGGGGCCCCAAGTTCTTCCACCTCCATGAACCCACCCGACAACGGCATGGTGCTGAGGAGACATTGCAGCCTTGAGCACAATTTAAAACAGGCACATAGATGGCATGGATTCCATCCCACAAACAAATGAGAAGAAACTGACAGAGTCGAGTGCAGGCCAGATGTGGAGATGAGAATGAGGGAGAAGACCATGAATGCAGAACTCCCAAATGAGCACTAAACCCAGTCAATCAATACATCTACGATCACGATGGAAAACCAATCAGTTGTATCTGACTGTCTTAAAAAAAGAGGCTTCCAATATCTGTGGGCTGCTGGAAGTGAATGCCCTGTCAAAAGTGCAAAGAGCACAAGGCTGAGAGATTTCCACATCCCTCATCAATGAATCAAGAAGCTGAGTTAAATAAGGCAGGGACAGCACTTGGGTGCCTCTTTGCCAGGGCATGTTGGGATGCGTAGTACAATGAGGGGACTCAGTTTTCTGCTGCAGTTCAGGGAAGTGCACACTGGAGCTTGCTAGGAGACGATTCCAAGTCCCTCATGATACTACAAACCTCAGGATCCACAGGATGTAACGATCAGAGCAGAAGAAAGAGAGCAAACGCCTGGAATTGTGTAGTTGAATAGTAATTATATGCCGTCCACTCAATTTCAACTAATGACAACCCGTTCCAGGGTTTCCTAGACGTACAGCACTCAGAAGGATTCTACTAGTCCCTTCTTAGGAGGCTGCTCTGGGACAATGCAGCCTGCCCAAGGCTACACAGGCTGGCTCATCTCCTCAGAGGTCCATGGGCAACTGAGCTCCCAGCCTCTGGCTCTGTGGCCAGGTCCCCAACTCACTGAGTTGTCCAGCCAACGGTTGTGTAATGTAGATGCACTGAAACAGCCCCATTTCTGTAAAAATATTTTTGTACCTCCCATCCATTAATTCCTCCTCATCTATTTGGCTTGGGTCCTCTGGACTCACCTATCCAGCAAGGCAGCAAGGGTGCAAACGAATCCAAAGGTCTTCTCGTTGGAGCAAAATGGTTCTTTCTGATTTTTATTCAGGAGACCCTTAATGACAGCCTTGTAACGGGAACCTCCTTCGACACACTCCCTTCTGATTCAGACCCGACCAAGCCCAGATGCGATGCCTTCATTCGGCAAGCTCTGAATAGCTCTTACAAAGTCAGCCACAGCCCCGCCTGGGTTGCGTAGCTTCAAACCGCCTGTCGCACCCACCCACCCGGCGTGACAAGTTCTGGACATAAAAGCTACTGTTTGCCATTTTGAAGCCCTCCGTGGCCCATGGTTTCTTCACCTTCAACAGAACCGGCTCTACAAGGGAGCGGCCAACCCTCGGAGGACCTCCATGGTTGCAAAATCTTGATGTCGCTTCTGTCCACTCTAAGTTAAACAGCAAGTAAAAAATCATGGAAGCTGTCTTATCTGTAGGGGCCTCTGTCTCACATCCTTGCTATTCCTTTGACATTTTAAGTGTATGGGGTGTGTCCCTCAAAATGAAGGTTGCAACAAGAGCATGGTCTCTTTACTTAACCGTTGGGTTCCTTCACTTCCTGGGTCAGCGGTGGAGGGCTGCTTCCAGAGCCCTGCGGAATACATCCATACATTCCTGGCCATGCTGACTGGGGGAAACTGGGAATTGGCAATACAGTGGTGCCTCGCTAGACAGTTACCCTGCATGACAGTTTTTTCGCTAGACATTGACTTTTTGCGATCGCTATAGTGATTCGCAAAACAGTGGGGATTCGCAAAAAATTCCTATGGGGGAATTTCACTGGACAATGTTTGGTCCCTGCTTCGCAAACCGATTTTTGCTAGACGACGATTTTGACAGCTGCATCCACACTCGCAAACAGGTGTTTTCGGGACCTAAGCTTCGCAAGACAGCGATTTAAACTGCCGATCGGCAGTTCGCAAAGCGGCTTTCCTATGGCCGATCTTCACTAGACAACGACGATTCTTCCCCATTGGAACGCATTAAACAGGTTTCAATGCATCCCAATGGGGAAATACTTTTCGCTAGACGATGATTTCGCTAAATAGCGATTTCAGTGGAACTGATTATCATTGTCTAGCGAGGCACCACTGTAATTTCTCCAATCTCTGGGTGAAATCTCTGTAACCACTCAGTTACCTATGATGCCTCAGTAACCAAAGGACTCAACTGCCCTAAGGAATAATACCACCCTTATAAATGTGGATTGAATGCAGGAAAAGAGTTAGAATTCAAACATAGTTAAAGCACATGCAATCATGTTTACAGGATGCCTCTGAGCAGAGAATCTCTCATTGGGACATCTTCCCTGTCATTAAAAGAGAATTTAAAAAGCCCCATAATTGCAAGTAAGACTCACCTTTTCATGCCAGAGGGCTATTTTTAGTTTGCTCCCTAGGTGTTGATTCACAGCACACACTTAAATGGGCCACCAAGTCTGTCCTGGTCTGTAATTGAGACTGTTCACGGATTTAATGAGCTCCCATGACACCAGATCTTATGACAAATGGATATTCCGGAGCATGCTCAAAAGAAGGTGCTCAGAGACTAAGGTGATTCCATTTAAAAACAAATATTTATCAAGGCAACCAACAGAAAGCCACCTACTTAGAACAGTTCTAGAGTTCGGACATATGTAGGGCTTATGCTGTAACAATGTGAAAGCTGAACAGTGAGGACAGCTACGCTCAAGCATTTGACTCATTTGAGATGTGGTGTTAGAGAAGAGTTTTGTAGACATCACGGACCACCAAAAGGATAAATAAATGGGTTCTCGAGCACATAAAAGCTGACCTTTCTGTAGAAACTAAAATGAAGAACTGAGAATGTTGTACAGTACTTTGAACCCAGCCTGAGAAGGCAAGATTCACTGCAACAGACAATCATGTCAGCACAATTTGAAAACAACAGGAAAAAAGGAAGACAAATGTGAGACCGATTGACTCTGTAAAGAAAGCCATGGCCCTGAGGTAGTAATTGCTGAGCAGATTGCACATCCCCATGTAAAGGGCTGCCCAAGCATCAGGATGAAATGAAATCAAAAGAGCAGGATTAGACCATCTTACAAATTGGTGTAGACCACTGGTTCCCAACCATAGGTCTTCAGGTGATCTTGGACTACAACTCCCAGATGATCTGGCCAGCACAGTTAGCAGTGAAGACTTCTGGGAATTTTTAGTCCAAGAACATCTGGGGACCCCAGGTTGGGAACCACTGGTGTAGAGGGACAGCACTGATGAAATCGTGATAAACTTGCTTCCTCCAGGCCACCTCCCCAGGTTGAGAAGCCATTTGGAGAGGGCTACAGCATACCAGATTGTTGAATCAAGTTCCTGCAAGCACCAGGCTTTTGCAAGACTATCCAAAAACAGTATGAGTAACCTCAAGTGGAATGTCAATGGGCTGTTGTCTTCCTAGAGGTATCAACACATGACTTTTCACTCCTTGCGAAACACCTTTCCAGGATGGCCGCAGCATTCTCCAGAGAGGTGTCTACTAAAAAACTGGAAGTCTAGCCAGTGAGGTTCTCCCCCATTTATGGCTTCCAGAAGCTCATCTCTCTCTTCTCAGTCTCCATATCTGAAGATACATCAAAACCCCAAAAGATCTGTATCTTTTTTGCCCAAGTCTGTTAATGGTTAGTTTGGAGGAAGGGTTGGAAAATCCATTTTATTCTCTCTCTCTCTCTCTCTCACACACACACACACACAAAACTCATTGAGGTATTTCTATCCTGAATATGTGGTTTGCCAATTTTTGTAGATTTTGGCAGATTTTCTCAAATTTTGATAGATTCTACAAAAAGTAACTGAAGTAGCTTTCTCCTGGATTTGTGCTGGTTGGATAAAGCTTTTCTGAGGATGGAAGGGCCCATGTGTACTTTTGTTGTTGTTGTTGTTGTTTAGTCGCTAAGTCGTGTCCGACTCTTCGTGACCCCATGTGTACTAGATTGTTATAAAACTGAAGCACACCTCAAAGGACCAAGAAGGGAGTCAAACCTTTTTCCTCCATATAACATCAATGCTTGTACAGCTTGTACAATGTATTGTAACCTCCAAGCAAAGCTGTTAGGTGGACACCATATAGACATTAGGGATGAGAGACTCATCAAAAATGTTCTTGGTCATTACCATTTCCCAAATTTCACCCCACTGAGATACCTCACAGAGTTTTCTCTTTTGTTCAGCGAGGTTTTCTGGTTTCCGAGAAAAAATAAGCCCCACCCACCCACGTCTTGTATTTCCCATTTTCTTTCCCCACCCCTCTTTTTTTCTTGGAAAACTGTATGTGTTTTGTTTATGGGTTGTGTGTTGTTGTTGTTTAGTCATTTAGTCATGTCTGACTCTTCGTGACGCCATGGACAAGAGCATGCCAGGCCCTCCTGGCTTCCACTGCCTCCTGGAGTTGGGTCAAATTCATATTGGTCACATCGATGATACTGTCCAACCATCTCGTCCTCTGTCGTCCCCTTCTCCTCTTGCCTTCACACTTCCCCAACATCAATGTCTTTTTCAGGGAGTCTTCTCTTCTCATGAGATGGCCAAAGTCTTGGAGCCTCAGCTTCAGGATC